TGCTCCCAGCGTGCTGAGTCAGCATTCCAGAGGCACCTGCAGGCTCAAAACAGTTAGGGATCCCTGCTTGAAAGAACTTTAGGCCAATAAGGAAGCCTTTGCCTGGCGCCTTAAGCCTGTGGGAGTTGGCACCAGACCCAGGCCTGTAGCCACAGTGGGGCATTTGGGGGTGGCGCCCCCACCACCCATGAGCCCTGCCAGACCCCCCACACACACACACACACCCTCCCAGTGCACCCTGCCCCATCGTGGGTAGGCTGGGAAGGAAAGGGAAGCTGCCCTGCCGCTTCTGGTCAGTTTCAGTCCCCAGGGGACTGTTAGGTTTGGGGAGGAGAGTGAAACTGACCAGAAGTGGCAGGACAGCTTCCCTTCCCTTCCCCAGCCTTGCCTACAGCTCTGGGGGCTGAGGAAGGAAACGCTCTCTTTCCTTCACTACCCTCCCCCCGGCTTAGGAGATGCATGGCATGGGTTAGGTTTATCTGGGAAGTGCGTGGTCCCTGGGAGAGACTGGTTCCAAACCATTTTGGACTTGACAAGTAAAATCATAAGCGTTCGAAGGGGCTATGGAGACCGTCTAGTCCAACCCCCTGCTCAATAAGTGAAGGGCGGGGTATAAATCCAATCTCTTCTTCTTCTTCTTTTTCTTTGAATTATGCCCAGAAATTAATTGATGGCTGCTTAAGTTCATTTTGCAGAAGTCGTGAGCCACGTTCCTGTGAGGCTGGTCTGGGTAAGCCAAAAGGCAGCCCGTCATATAAGATGTGGCATTAATCTCAGCCGGATGGGCACAGAGTCGCTATACTTTCTCCAAGCTTCGCTTTCTCCTCCTGCGATAGACGGAGACGGCAGTAAATACCGATGGAACTTCTAAGGCTAATTTAACACCATATTACCATCTCTCCATGTAAACCCCACGATGGGAAGTTTGGTAGGAAACATTGCGTGGCAAACCGACACATTGTAAAGGTTTTGAGCCGAGATGCACCCGTCTGTCTCTTTTGTGCTCGATGTCTATTTTAAAACTTAGGCTGCCTGTAACGTTATCGAAGGCTATAGAAGCGATTTTTTTAAAAGAGCATTAATTTGCCCGGAGTCTCAAGCGACTGCAAAGTAGCTTCCGGCAACCTGAGGGGATTTGGGGGCTTTCCACTGAACGTTCCCAGCTCTTGACATTTCCAAACCATGAATGTGCCGGGTATTGTGAAATGCCAGGCAGGCTGCAGAAGAAGCTGTCAAGGATCTTTCAAGGATGCGATAGCAGGAAAACCATTGTGCGGTGGCCTAGTTTGATCTGCGTGGGGGGGGGGGGGGGAGACGGATGGAAGAGATGACGCCGAACTCTAGTCGAGCTGTCCAATAAGCTAAAAGCAAGTCATATAAACATGTCAAATGCCTGTATGAGAACTTTAACTCACAGCTCCATTAAATGCGTCAATTATCAAGCTCACTTAGAGCCCACATAGGTACCGTCTCTGTGCAGAGGAACCAGAGAACGTGGGATCTGCCACGGAATTCAACTTCCTGGTACATCTTCACTTGTATTTTTTTTTTTTTAATCCCACCAAGTTTCTAGCTCTTTAAGATAAATCTGTGGCCGATGCCTCGGGACAATCTCAGAAGCCCTCTTATTAGATAAAATCAGGGGTCATTTCCTGCAGAAGCACACAGGAGCGGAGCTCCGTCAGTAAAGAGCCCCCGGGACGGGCACGTGCAACAAGCCCCACCCCCTGCTCCCAGCAGCCCTCAGTCAGAGCAAGAAGCAGCCAGGTAAGTTGCAGAGCCCCCCCCCGACCCCCCAGTCCAAAATAGTCCAGTGGCACCTTTAAGACCAAGTTTTATTCAGGTACCAGCTCTCCCTCCTCTGCGAGGGCAGATCTACATGCGTACCCCCCCCCCAATAGCTAGCAATCCAAAACAGTCAAGTGGCGCCTGAGTGGTGGGTGTTGCTTTCTGACACACTTCCGGTGATGTCAGGGGGCGTGGCATATGCAAATAAGTTATGCTATTGAGCTCCTGCACCTCCTTTTCTACAAAATAAACCCCTGGTTAAAATAAAATATGCAAAAGAAGCAGGGTGGGCGCAAGTTTCTGCAATTGGCTCAGGCTGCAGGATTCAGCTTTTCTTGATGCGGGCTTTCGGTTTCTGTGCTAAGGTACATCAAGACGTGAAAGAGAACCTATTTCAAAAAGAGTCAAGAAGAGATTTGATCTATACCCCGTCCTTCACTATCCAAAGGAGTCTCAAAGTGGCTTACAATGTCCCTTCCCCTCCCCACAACAGACACCCTGTGAGGTAGGTGGGGCTGAGAGAGCTCTCTCGAGGACTGCTGAGAGAACAACTCTGAGAGAACTTGTGACTGAACCAAGGTCACACCAGCAGCTGCATGTGGAAGAGTGGGGAATCAACCCCGGTTCTCCCAGATTAGAGTCCGCACTCCTATCCACTACACCAGACTAGCTCAAACAATGTAGCATTCTGCTGGTGTAGCTGCCCTAACAGCTCAGACTAGCCCAGTTTCGTCAGGGCTTGGAAGCGAAGCAGGGAATCCACCAAGGAAGGACTGGGGTTGCCACGCAGAGGAAGGCAATGGTGAACCACCCGCACTCATCTGCCTTGAAAACCCCACAGTCCTGGACTCACAGTGAGTCAGTTATGACCTGACGGCACATGAGTGTTAACCTTGACATGGCCCAGCCCAGCCTGATCTCTGGAGCTAAGCAAGGTCGGTCCTGGTTAGTACTTCGATGGGAGCCCACCAAGGGAGTCCATGGTTGCTACACAGAGGCAGGCAATGGCAAACCACCTCTGAACATCTCTTGCCTTGACCTGGATGGCCCAGGCTGGCCCGATCTCATCAGATCTCAGGAGCTCAGCAGGGTCGGCCCAGGTTAACACTTGGATGGGAGACCACCAAGGAAGTCCTGGGTTGCTATGCAGAGGCAGGCCATGGCAAAACACCTCTGAAGGTCTCTTGCCTTGACCTGGATGGCCCAGGCTGGCCCAGTCTCATAAGATCTCAGAAACTAAGCAGGGTCAGCTCTGGTTAGTCCTTGGATGGGAGACCTCCAAGGGAGTCCAGGGTCGCTACGCAGAGGCAGATCACGGCCAACCACCTCTGCTTGTCTCTTGCCTTGGAAGGTGAAAGAAATCATAACGGTTATGAGATGGAACTTCATGGGGTCACCATGAGTTGGTTGTGGCTCAGGGGCGTGCTTTGCCTTTTTATCTGCTAGTTCCCGAGGCTTTACAGAATGTTGTTCGTAGGCATGATTGCACCAGTGTTAATGGTGGTGTGCAATGTTCCCTCTAAGCGGAGTGAGTGTGAGCTAGCTCAAAGTTTTTTAGCCTCCGGCTCACACATTTTTGTCTCAGCTCAGGAAGGATGGGCTCCAGAGCAAACTAACTTGTGCAGCAGCCAAATAGTTCGCTCGCTCACAGCTTTAATGCCAGTAGTTCACAAAGTAGAATTTTTGCTCACAGGACTCCACAGCTTAGAGGGAACATTGGCGGTGTGCCTGATTGTCCAGTTTATATAACACAGTCTCCATGTCTGCAAAAGAGGCAAAACCAAGGGAGGCACTAAAGTTCTTTCGCCAGCCAAGGTCAAGGGTAGATGGTAGTATCTCTGTTGTCTGCAAGGTTAAATGATCTCTGTGTGTGTGTGTGTGTTTTAAAATGCTTTTAACAGAAAAGCACCAGGAGTCTATAGACGTTTGTAGCTCATCGATGTCAGAAGCTTGGAGCAGGTGGGGGAATGCGATGAGCTCACCGGTGTTACAGAATTTAATTGACGTAGCCGTTACAGATTGCAGTTCTTAAAAGTCTTGGGGAATTCAGTAGCCTAGGGTATTAGTTAATGGCAAATTTTTAACACTCTGCAAACTGGCTGTAAAGATTTTGTTTCCGAAAAGCTGCTGCGAGGACAGTTACTTCATGTAGGAGAAGCAGCATGTATAACGGGAAGTATCAGAAAGTGTAGAAGCAGCATGTTCTTTATGAAAGGAAGTGAAATACTTTGTTGCCAGAATATCAAGGGCATTGCTCCTAGTTTCTTTGGCACTAAAGGATTTTTTTAAAAAAAATACAGTGTTTTGCAAAATAGATGATGTTGGGCATGTAGAAACACTGGTGGGGTGGCGTTCGTTAATGATGGTCATTACACTCTGAGAATTTTGAGAGGGAGTAAGAGGCGAGTTTTCCTCCATCACGTCATTCTTGTGCTTGGTTCAGGAGAGGCATGCCCTGGCCCAGCATATGCATGGAACCAGGTTTGGTGTGAGAACCAGTTTGGTGTAGTAGTTAAGTGTGCAGGACTCTAATCTGGGAGAACCGGGCTTGATTCCCCGCTCCTCCACTTGCACCTGCTGGCGTGACCTTGGGCAAGCCATAGTTCTGGCACAGCTGTTCTTGAAAAAGAGCAGTTTCCGTCAGAGCTCTCTCAGCCCCACCGACCTCACAAGGTGCCTGTTGTGGGGGAGGGGAAGGGAAAGGAGTTTGTAAGTCGCTCTGAGACTCCCTTGGGTAGCAAAGGTTGGGGTATAAATCCAATCTCTTCTTCTCTTCTTTAAAACATGTATCCCTGTTGGATATGGGTGAGGAGGGGGGGATTGGATGGCTGTTTGCTCAACTAAAAAGGTAATTGAGGGCCTGGGCTTGCTTGTAGTAAGGAGCATTAATGTTGCTAAGAAGAGGGTGGCACATGCTCATTCTTGCAGTACACTTCTGTGCAGAGTCACTCCGGCCAAACCCATTGATTTCAGTGGACGTGGACCGGAGGAACTCTGCATAGAACCGCCCTGTTAGCACGCCACTTGCGAAAGTCTCTCTGCATGATGGTGTTCCTGTGGAAGGCTCTGCTGATCCATAATGTGGGAAGCAGCATAGCCATTTATTTGTGAAAACAAGGACCTCGGTGGGGGCAGAGGGTCGGCGGGGGGTCCGTTGGCTGTCCTGCCGAGCGTTTGACAGGCAGCGGCGGCGTTTTGGTTTCTCTTCCCAGCGCCTGGATCAAAGTGGAGCAGCTGAAGCCCTACCATGCTCACAAAGAAGAGATGATCAAAATCAACAAAGGCAAGAGGTTCCAGCAGGCCGTGGACGCGGTGGAAGAATTCCTCAAGAAAGGCAAAGGCAAGGACCAGGTGAGTGTTCCTGGGGCATCCAGGCCCTTGGCGCAGTGGAGGCGGGCGCTTGTTCTACGTGGCCTTCGGTAGATCGCTAGAGATTGAGCGTCTCCAGGATTTCTTCTGTGCAGCAGGGGCTAAGATCCCATTTGGGAAGCAGTCAAGGGCGGCGTTCCCTCAAAGCTGAGTGAGCGTGAGCAGCTCAACAGGTTTTTTAGCCTCCGGCTCATGTATTTTTGTCTCCGCTCAGGAAGGACGGCTCCGGAGCAAACTTATTTATGCAGCAGCCAAATCGCCCGCTCACAGCTTTAATGCCAGCAGCTCACAAAGCAGATTTTTTGCTCACAAGACTCTGCAGCTTAGAGGGAGCGTTGGTCAAGGGTGGGAGCTGCCTGCCACGGCCCTGACGTACTTACAGTAAACGGAGACAGAAGGGCCTGTAGATCTGTGCCCGCGGTCTTGGGATATGGTTGCGTGCTCTGGAGTGTTAGACTCGTGCCTGCCCCCCTGTGAAGTAGGCCCTTGCTTAGGAAATATAGCTGTACCTCCCGCCTCTTTTCAGAACTAGTACCCCAGTCCTGGTCTGTCCTGAAATCGGGGGGGGGGGGGGCCGGAAAGGGAGCTGCCCAGCAAGACTCCTCCTTGCCTTGTTGTGTGTGGGAGGGGGAATCGCTGGCCGCCCGTGCCTCACCCTTCTGTTCTGTAATCTCCCAGGCATCTCACAGCTCCGCCGAAGAGAAGAACCGGCGGAACTCCAGCGAGGAACGAGGGAAAGCGGCGGCGGGGGAAGAGAAGCGCAAAGCCGGGCTGCCCGACGGGAAGCCAAAGAAGAGGGTCTCGTCGGTCTCCTCGGAGCGAGGCTCCAAGTCCCCGCTGAAGAGGACGTACGAGCAGAGCCCCCGGAAGCGTGGACGGCCCCCCAAAGACGAGAAGGTTTGTGTTTGGCATCTCCTCCCCGCGTCCTGTGAGCTTGTCTCTAAGCAAAACTCTGCCCGCTCGAAAGAGGGTTTGAGGTTCTGTCATTCTCCTTTACGTAATTACGTCATTCTCCCAGGAGCTTTGACTCTCAAACGTTCATGCCCTGAAAGTCGTATCGGGTCTCCGAGGGGATACTGGACCTCGATTCTAGCTGGACCGCCGCAGACCGGCACGGCTTCCCTGTGAAAATCTCCTTCTCTGAAGGCTGTTGTGCTTTGGTTCTAACCCTCCCAGAGTCTTGCCTTCTAGAGCATGCGTAACACGGCCTCGTTTCCTTTGAAAGGATGTGTGCCTCTGGGAGTTCTTGCTTTAACCTAGTAATTGTAGCTCTCTGTTCCCTGGAAGTGGCTTTTTTAAACCACTGAGTGAGTCCTGGGCCGGTCTTCCTCCAAGAAAGTGAGGCAGTGTTGAGGAGGAACTTCAGCGCTCCATAAGTACGGACCTCCCAGCCAAGCTGAGGCAAACAAAGTCTGGGCTGAAGGCGTGTTTACTGGCGTCTTCCCTTACACTCCCGGCCTAGTATTGTTTTTCTTCTCTCTCCCCGGCCCGGTGACTTCTGACACCAGACAGACTTCTGGACAGACACCGGACAGACTTCTGGCATCCGGACAGACATGCCCCATTTCTCAAATATGGGAGTGGGGGTCAGGAGCCAATGGGCTGCAGGGGCAGCTGCCCTGGGCTCTTTGGTGGTGGGGGGAAGCACTCATACGCCCCAAAGGGGAGCAGAACAAGAAGAGCAGGCCCCTGCTGCTGCATACAGCTGCCCTGTCGGGTCCAGGCAACTGGCTTCCATTGGCACAAGTGGGTGGGTTGGACATGTACTGCATCCAGGTCAGGAGGGTTGGACAGGCAGTCTGCTCTCTGCCCTGTTGTTCACCCTCCGTAGGAGCTGGTTGGCTCCTGTGTGAGACAGGATGCTGGACTAGATGGACCTTCACTGGTCTGATCCAGCAGGTAGCGTCTTATGTTCTCCTGAAGACCTCAGCCTCTGTGCCTTGTTGTTGGCCTTCCAGAGGAGCTGACTGGCCACTGTGTGAGACAGGAGGCTGGACTAGATGGACCCCTGGTCTGATCCAGCAGGGCTCTTCTGATGTTCTTATCAGGGGGAGACCTCGGCCTCTCTGCCCTGTTGCTGGCCCTTCAGAGGAACTGGTTGGCTACTGTGTGAGGCAGGATGCTGAACTAGATGGACCACTGGTCTGATCCCGCAGGGCTCTTCTGATCTTCTTATGTCTTTACTTGCTGTAAGGTCATCCACCAGTTAACATCCCCCCCCCCAACCTATATCTTACAGAAGAGGCTCACCCCAAAGAGTTGCCCCACAGAACAGCTGGATGCAAACAGCAAGCCACTCCCCCCCCCATGGCTGACCTTCTGCCTAGATGCTCGCTAGGCATTCAGCCCCACTGATCTTAGTGGGTCCTGAGATTTTCAGTCCCCTCTTTAACTGGCAAGCACTAAGGGTCCAGTTATGCAGCCGACCCCACCCTTTCTAAAGGTGCTGACACCCAGTCTTCAGATGATTTAAGTCTTCTCAATCCCGCCATATCTGGACTTTGTCCTGCTGACCGCCAGCCAGAACAGCTGCTGCCTGGGGGGGGGGGGGGAAGCATACCGGCCACCTGTTATCTAAATTCTACTCTGCACCGATAGCCTCCGTCCTGTCCCCACCGTTGGCTTTAGCAACTGGACTAAGAGCCAGATGCAGTGTGTCCAGAAAAGGGGACAGTTTAAAAAGCGACTTTACCTCTTTCCCCTTGCATCGCCCCTTCGGTAATTTCTTCATGGCAACAGCGGCTAGCGAAGAAACTGGAGAGCGAAAGGAAGGGAGCCTCAAAAATAAGCCCCCACCCCAGCTTGGGACATTGACTGGGAAGTGGCCGCCGCCCCATGGCCACACATCAGGGCGTTGACGGCACTGCGGCCGCAGTCCCAAGCAGCCTTTTACAGGGAAATCAGCCTCAGTGGGACTCGCTTCCGAGAGACCACACTTGGACTCACCCTGCAGGGATTGCTATGTTGGTTTGAATCATCCTGAAGCTGCCGTTTTGCACCTTTTTTCTTACTTTTGCTCGATTTGGTCAAGGAGGCGTTCTGGCTCACCTTCTCCCAAGGCTTTGGGGTGGGAGACAGTGCCTAAAACGCACATTCGGTCAAGTGGGGGGCGGAAAGATCAACTTCTTTTTAAAGCAACAGTGAAGAGATTTCCTCCCCCCCTGCCAGTAGCCCTCGAAGACCAGCCCCACAATCTATCATGTCACATTGCCTGCAGACCCCAGATTTGGCAGGCGATGCGGGGAAGGCGATTTTGCCGCGCCAAGGAGGTTTCTTTTGTGTTCTCATGTTGCCGTGTACAGATGAGCCCCTCCCTCCCTCTCGCGTGGCCCAACACAGTGAAGTCTCTCCCTTTTGGTCAGTCTGCCTCTTCTCCCCCAAGGTCATAAGCCGCCACACTGCAAACTCCCCCCCCCCCGCTTCGTGTACTGTTGTGCAAGCCGCCTGCTCCTCTGCTGTTTCAGCAAGAGGCCTCCCTCTCTCTCTTTTTCTGAGCAGCCTCTTCCAAGAAGGGAATCTGGCAGCGTTCAGGACGGAGGCTTCTTAAAATGTTCAGAACGTTCCCCGGTTGCTCTCCGGCGTCCCCAGCCTCCCACACAGCTCTCGAGGCCCTGTCGCCGGGGCGTCGTCTTGATTGCCTTCCTTGTCTCTCCACAGGATCTGACAATCCCGGAGTCGAGCACAGTGAAGAGAATGATGACGGGGACCGTGGCGGGCTTCAAATGGCCACCGAGTGTAAGCAGAAATGATTTTAAGACTCTCGGCTTTTCCGTGGTCTAGATCAGGGGTGTCAAACATGTGGCCCGGGGGCCGGATCAGGCCCGGCCCCCCCTGAGGGCTTCCGTCAGGCCCGCAGTGGAACTGGCCATCTCCTGCTTCCAGTTCTGCTGCTGCTGCTGCTGCATCATAGCTTGCTTCGCCAGGCTCTCTTAATCACTCAGCCATTTCATGTTTTAACCTGGGTCGTAGACTCAGAACTCCGAGCATGAGATTTCCGTGCTAAATGTCAATAAATCAAAAGTAGGTTTGCAGCTTACAGAGCTAATGTTTTGAGCATGTTTTTATTTTAAGTTAAAAAAAACCACCTTGTGTTTGTATCCTTTATACAGTTTATATCTCCACTACCTGGCATTACATTTTATGTCACACACTGCCTGGCCCAACAAGGTCTAATTTATGTCAGATCCGGCCCTCCTAACAAATGTTCGACACCCCTGTTCTAGATCTTTCCCGTGGTCTGGATCTTTCACAGGCCAGTCAAGTCAGTTTATTATTACAGTCATCGACCAGTACATATCAATTTGAAAGACAATATAGAAAAATTCCCAACAGTATCCTAGCTGGTTATGAGCCAGAAAAAAACCCCTTAGTAACATAAAAGCTTATAAGTTATAAAAAGATATAAAGGAAATAAGTAAAACTACTGTTCAAACCTTTTAAACCATTTAAAAAGTCAGTTTAAAGCGATTTTTGTTAAAAGGTAGAGATATGGTCTATTTGCCTTGCTTTCTGTGTTCCTTATATACCTGGGCGCAGAACCTAGCTACCTGTCTTGATGTATGATGATTCCTATCCGACAACAGGTATTCTAATTTTAATAAGCTTCCCAGTAGAAAGGCAAGTTGAGGGCAAAGTTACCCTTTAAACAATTTAATTAAGGCATACAGTTTAGCAAGGAGAAAGAAGAAGAAGGAGAGATTGGATTTATACCCCGCCCTTCACTCAGAGTCTCAGAGCGGCTTACAAATTCCTTTCCCCTCCCCTCCCCACAACAGACACCCTGTGAGGCAGGTGGGGCTGAGGGAGCTCTTTCCAGAACTGTCCTTGAGAGAACAGCTCTGACAGAACTATGGCTTGCCCAAGGTCATCCAGCAGGTGTAGAATCACACAGAGTTGGAAGGGGCCATGCAGGCCATCTAGACCAACCCCCTGTTCAGTGCAGGATCAGCCTAGAGCAGGGGTGTCAGACTGATCTGTTACAAGGGCCGGATCTGACATAAATGTCTCTTTGTCGGGCCGGGCCACGTGTGCCATAAAACCAAATGCTGGGTACCGGAGATAGAAACCGTATAAAGGACAGCAGCTGGTAAGCTCCGAGTTGGTGCGTCCTCACTGCAAGGGCCCCTGGGGTGGGAGGGGGGTGCAGAGGAAATCCCACAGAGGCGGACCAGAGAGGCAGCAGTGCCACGCTGGGCAGATGCTCCCGCAATGTTTGACTGTTGCAGGCAAGGTTGTTCTGCTGTGCTAAGGCCATAATGGAGTGGCTCTGCCCATTCCCCCCCCCCCAGCACTCCCTCCCTTGTATCAGTTGCTCACGGGCCGCATAAGAGCCCTGGACGGGCCTGATCTGGCCCTCAGGCCTTATGTTTGACACCCCTGGCCTAGAGCATCCCTGACAAGTGTCTGTCCAGCCGCTGCATCCTGTGTTCCTCCACAGGAATCTTGGGGTGGGGTGGGGACTTTACTCCACCTCCTTGCTTTCCTGCCTCCTCTCCCAACAAAAAGAATGCATACAATGTTCCCTTACCCTTGCAAGTCATTAATTGCACGCCCAAGGCAGATGCAGGCTTGTAGCAGTTTAGGGGAGTCCATGTGAGTTTCCAGACCTACCCGTGAAAGTGCAGCCACCGAATTCCGTCCAGCTTTCAGAGCCGAAAAGGCTGATACTGCTGGGGAAAATGTTTTAATGCTTGTAGGTAGCCATCTTGGTAGCAGAGGAGGAATACAGTAATACAGCATAGATTTTTTTTTGGGGGGGGGGGTTCAGTTCCGACCCGTAGCCGAAAAGGTGATGGCAGTTACCGGATTGGTGCTGAGGGAGGCAGGGGAAAAAGCTGGCAGAGATATTTGTCTTTTCTGAAATCAATTCTGGGTGCTTTAAAAGTACGCAAGTTTTCAAAGCTTGAGCAATCTTCCTGATTCGCAGTAAGAACCTAAGAGACGCCATGTTGGATCAGGACAGTGGGCCCATCCAGTCCAACACTGTATCTCACAGTGGCCAAAACTCAGGTGCCATCAGGAGGTCCACCAGAGGGGCCAGAACTCCAGAAGCCCTCCCACTGTTTCCCCCAAGCACCAAGAAGACAGACCCTCACTGCCCCAGACATAAGAACATAAGAGAAGCCATGTTGAATCAGGCCAATAGCCCATCCAGTCCAACACTCTGTGTCACACGGTGGACAAAAATACCAGGTGCCATCAGGAGGTCCATCAGTGGGGCCAGGACACTAGAAGCCCTCCCACTGTTGCCCCCTGCCTCCCCCCCCCCCAGCGCCAAGAAGACAGAGCATCACTTGCCCCAGACAGAGAGTTCCTATCTGTACCTTGTGGCTAATAGCCACTGATGGACCTCTGCTCCAGATGTTTATCCAATCCCAATGCGACACGTTCATGTTTAAGTATATTGTTTTGCCTGATCCACATGTCCCGTGAAGTCAATTGCTCACTTGATCCTGGCGTCAATTCTTGGAAATGCTTCAGTCAGCGCTGTGCTGGTTTTAACGCAGAAGTGTTTTCGGATAGCGAAACACTTAAGCTGATCTGAGTGAGGAAAGATGCTAGAGTGCCCTTCTAAGTGCTGTGACTGAGCAGTTCCGTTTTGTTCAGCGGGGTTTGCAGTTTCATAAGTGTACTTAGGGGTTGCCGCCAGTGTTCCCTCTAAGCTGAGCTAGTGTGAGCCAGCTCGCAGTTTTTTAGCCTCCGGCTCACACATTTTTGCCTTCGCTCAGGAAGGAGGGCTCCAGAGCAAACTGATTTTATTCAGTAGCCAAATCGCTCACTCACAGTTTTAATGCCAGTCGCTCACAAGGCTCCACAGCTTAGAGGGAGCATTGGTTGCCGCCTTCGAAACAAGAAGACAGATCCAGTTTTTGAACGGCAAAGTGCTGGGAATGTGTGGGGAGAACTCGCCTGCAGAATCCGTTTCCCAGCATTCCTTCCGTCATGGAGTACGGTCAGCAAGGCCCCTGTGTATGGATATTTCGTCTGGGATATCGCTTTCCTTCTCCTGGCTGCCGGGTTAGTTGCGCTCCGCAGCCTGTTGGATTGGAGATTCTTTGGTTCTCTCTTGTCCCCACGCGTACCGACTCCACTCTGTTTCCAATAAGTCGGGAGGTAAGCAGGAGGCACTGAAGTCACGTCAGGGTTTGTGAGCCGTCGCCCATTCTGAACTTCCCTTTTGCCCGGCTCAGTTTCCCCTCTTTGCAATTGCAGCCCGTGAAAGACGGCGACCCCCATTTCCACCACTTCCTGCTCAGCCAGACGGAGAAGGTGAGCGCGGGTTTGGGCCGTGTCAAATCAGGATCCGGGACCATCCCGAGGTGGCCGCTCTCCAGCCACGAATGGATAGATTCCACTCCAGACGATGGCAGCCTGGTCAGACGCATGGTTTAGGTGTACCTTAGCCCCACCGCTGTAAGGTTATGATTTTGGGACTCCCCTCTCCTGAGCAGGCCAGACACAAACTTCTGGGCACCAGCCATTAGCTTGACTTCGGCATTAGTAAACATCTGTTCCCTTTCAGCTGAAGCTCAGTGGCATCCCACAAGAATCGGTGCTCGGTAGGGCATATGCACTGGGCGGCTTTGGGAGGCCGTAGAATTATGGATGTGAGGATCCGAGATTGCAAAGGGATAGCTGCGTCAGTCTGCCTTTGAAATCTCTCTCTTATATATAAAGCTAATTTCGTGTGAGTCCTGGAACACGCTCCCAGAGGCTTTGGCCCAGGGACCTGTCAATCACAAGGTCTCGCCATCCATTGGTGGCTGCATTGGCAGGGTCTCGCCATCCATTGGTGACTGCGTGCCCATGTGTTGTCAACGTCCCGCCCACCCTCCAAGGGCTCCGGGGGGGGGGGGCGGGAACACGCCTCCTCCACAACGCCACGCTCACCCAGGCCCTCTGCTAGAAGCACGTTGCATTTCGGGCCGCGACAAGGCCTTCCTCCTAGTAAAATATAAAATACAAATCCAGCAGCACCTTAAAGATTAGCAGCATCTATTTCAGCATCTGCTTTTGTGAGCCACAGCTGACTCCTTCACCCCACTGCTGCTGGTCACCCCATGACCTCGGCCAGCCTCTGTGAGAAGCTGTTCAGGAAGCGGGTCAGGGAGTCGTCGCCCTCACCTGGATGGGCCAGGCGAGCCCGATCTCCTCAGATCTGGGGAGCCCAGCAGGGGCGGCCCCGGTGAGTGCTCGGATGGGAGGCCAGCAAGGAAGCCCAGGGTCGTGGTGCAGAGGCAGGGGGGGGCCAAGCCCCCTTTGGGAATCCCATATATAAAGCTAAATTCGTGTGAGTCCTGGAACCCGCTCCCAGAGGCTTTGGCCCGGAGACCTGTCAATCACAAGGTCTCGCCATCCCATTGGTGGCTGCAGTGGCAGGGTCTCGCCATCCATTGGTGACTGCCTTGAAAGCCCTCTTCAGCTCGATGGCGCTTTCCGCCACTGTCCGACGGAGCCGGTGCTTTAACTAGGTGCCGCTGGCTTGAGTCTCACATCTTTCCCTGTTTCCCTGACATTCCTTCTTCCTTGAGGAAAAGGGCTGGGCTGGAAAGCCATCCTCTCTTCCCTGATCCAGCTATAAGCCAGTCAGTCTTCTCAGCCAGTTTGGTGTCGTAGTTAAGTGCGCGGACTCTAATCTGGGAGAACCGGGCTTGGTTCCCCACTCCGCCACTCGCACCTGCTGGAGGACCTTGGGCAAGCCATAGTTCTGTCACAGCCAATGTTCAAGAGATTTCGCTGCTGGATAAACTAGTTTGCTCTGGAGCCCTCCTTCCTGAGCCAAGACAAAAATGTGTGAGCCGGAGGCTCAAAAACTGTGAGCTAGCTCACACTAACTCAGCTTAGAGGGAACACTGGTCACAGCTGTTCTTGAAAAAGAGCAGTTTATTTCAGTGCTCTCTCAGCCCCACCTACCTCCCAGGGTGTCTGTTGTGGGGAGGGGAAGGGAGTTTGTAAGCCGCTCTGAGACTCCCTTGGGTAGTGAAGGGCGGGGTATAAATCCAATCACTTCTTCCCTGCTGAGGGATCTTTCACTTTTGCCCTTTGCTGATGTATTCGTGATATCTGCCAATGTCGTCTTGCAAGAAAGGGGGGGGGGTTGAAGGGGCTTGGGGAGCTTTGCAGCAGAGAGAACTGTTTGCTCTTCTCCTAGGGCGAGCAGACTTGGGGCGTAGGCCCTCGGTTTGTTCCTAGGGGACGGCCTCTTGAGAAAGGGGCTCTGAGCCGCTAGCCTGCAAGACAACAAGGCTGTTTGCTGGATTCCTCCCAAATGTGTTTCTCTTTTCTCCCCCCCCCCCCCCCCCTGGCCGTTTGCTATCAAGCCATCTCGAAGAAGCTGAAGGTGTGTGAAGAGGTACAGCAGGCTTTGCTTTTGATCTGCCCTTAGTCGATGTCTCCAGAATGCGGGCCCCCGTTGGCTCTGAAGTGAAATGGTCCCTTTTGTGTTCTTCCCTCCCCCGCCCCCCCACCTCCAGGAGACCGGATCCACGTCCATACAGGCAGCAGACAGCACGGCTATTAACGGCAGCATCACGCCTACGGATAAGAAGTAAGAGCCCCCCTCTGTTGGGGAGGTGTTTAAATGCTTCCAGGCCTGCTTTTGACTGGGGAGAGGCAGCCCAGTGGCCTGAACCCACTTAAATGGGGACCGGTCATCTTCTTCGCCTGCCTCTGTGTGGACTCTGAGGTGAGTCGGTTCAACTTCAGAGAGGAGGATGCCCCCCGACCCCCGGTCGCTGTGCTCCCAAGCATCTGTCCTCGCAGCTCAAAGGAGAGGTGTTTGATAGCTGGCACTGCAGTGTGGATAGCATACGTACACCGCAGACTTACAATCTACTCTGCAGATCTTCCAGATGATCTACAAAGCCAGTTTGGTGTCGTGGTGAGGAGCGCGGACTCTAATCTGGGAGAACTGGGTTTGATTCCCCACTCCTCCACTTGCAGCCAGCTGGGTGACCTTGGGTCAGTCACAAGTTCTCTCACAGCTGTTCTCTCAACGGCAGTCCTCGAGAGAGAGCTCTCTCAGCCCCACCTGCCTCACAGGGTGTCTGTTGTGGGGAGGAGGAAGGGAAAGGAGATTGTGAGTCGCTCTGAGACTCTTTCAGGTAATGAAGGGCGGGGTATAAATCCAATCTCCTCCTACATATACAAAGATTTCGGTCTTGCAAGGAGACGGGCTTTCCAGGGTAGAGAAATTTTGCACGTGGAACTTTCCGAGCAGCTGTGTTGCCCTGTGCCCAGGAGCCACTTTGGAGGGCCAGAACCTCCTGGCTTCACCCGTTGCCCTTGCAACAAACATCCGGCGTGCAGCATGGATCCGGGGAGCTGAGGACATATCGGTTTCCTTGGCCAGGGGCCAGCCCAGCCCCTGCTGTACCGTTCCCCCCTCCAACCGCTGGCGTTAACGACAATTCAGGTCCTCCCTGGAGGGACCTGGTTAGAACTGCTCTTCTCTCTGTCCAGTGACCGTAGCGGTCCAGATACAGAGCAGCCCTTTCCAGGCATTGTAAGCTGGGAGAAGGAATTTTCATGTAGGGGGTGGGCCTAGAGGGATTGCAGCAACAGGCACTCCATCCCTCCGCCAGCACGGGTCCCTTTGGGGTGACTCCAGTCACAGTCTCCTCGTCATTCCTGGCTGTAAGTTTGTGAAACGGGCCACCGCTCCATCTAGAGGTCTTTATCCTTCCTGAAGACTTGGAAAAAGGGCGTGCTTATCGCTGGCTTCCACGGAGTTATCCGAGGTGAAGCTCTTCAGAATGACCATTTGGGGCAGGAGCTAGTATGGGGCAGTGGTTAAGAGCGCGGACTTTGATCTGGGAGAACCGGTTTTGATTCCCCACTCCGCCACATGCAGCTGCTGGTGTGTCTTTGGGTCAGTTCCAAGTTCTCTCAGAGCTGTTCTTGAGAGAGCAGTCCTCGAGAGAGCTCTCTCAGCCCCACCTACCTCCCAGGGTGTCCGTTGTGGGGAGGGGGAGGGAAAGGAGATTGGAAGCCACTCTGAGACTCCTTCGGGTAATGAAGGGCAGGGTATAAATCCACCCTCCTCCTGTTTTTGAGTTATTCTGGGTCCCGAAAAGCAACCTGTGCGGTGGTGGCTGGTGTGTCTTGGCTTACCATGCATGTGATTATTTTAAACAGGTTATTATAAAATTGCCCCCATTGAGTTCTCGGTGGGCGAAGAGCGGGCGAAAAGCAGCGCCGTAAATCTGCTTGCAGCCTTCGCGCTTACGAGCAGGCACGCCTTTGGCTTTCTCTGCAGAATGAGGAGCCCCGGAACAGCAGAGAGCCATAAGTGAGGGCGGAGCTTGCCGTCGCAATCCCGCCCCCCCCTCCCCCACCGTACATCCCTTTCCCTCGTTCTCTGAAAACGGCCAAGGTTGGACGAAAGCAACTGAACCGCCTTGGGCTCATCACTCAGCACCATTCAAACTGTGCCAGGCAGGGTGGGCAGGTGGATTGAAGAAGGAGTAGCCCCGTGTTCGCCTTCTGTAGGTCCCTCGACGAGCAAAACCTTTAATGTCTTTTGCCAAAAGTTATACAAGTAAGCCAGTGGCGTCGGAACTCATTTGTTGCGAGGGCCGGATCTGACGTAAACGCCACTTAGTCAGGCCGGGCCACGTGCGCCTTAAAGCATAATGCCGTACAGCACATTCTCTTAAACTGCCCGCTGTACACTCAGCTACGTTTACACCTGATTAGTCCTCTCCTTCAATTCACTAAGGTTACAACCAATAGAGGTATTGAATTCTTGCTAGCGGACAAAAAAACCCGAAGTTACTGAGCAGGTGGCGGAGTTCCTGGCAAATATACTCAGGGACCGAGAAAATGAGGAAAGGGGAGAGGAAAGGAGGCGGAGAGATAAGGAGAGAAAGTGAGAGAGAGAAGGTGTATTTTTGATTCCGTTTCAGATAGATAAATTTCTTACTGCAACTGTTTTAATTACTCGAGATTACTGTTCCAAACTTTTATCACTTTGTCCTATTATTATTATTATTATTATTATTATTATTATTATTATTATTATTATTATTATTATTATTATTATATACAATGATACAAATTGCTATACTTTGATGGTTTCTGTTTGTTGGCATATGGGCTGACTTGTACTGTTATTCTTTCTTTAAAGCTATTGTTATGCCAATAAAGGTTATTGGAATTGGCAGGGGGGGGGGTTTCCAAAGGAAAACCCACCTGGGTGGGCTAGAGAGCCAGTGGTGCACCGCCGGGCAGATGAGGGTGTTCCGCTGTGGTGAAGCCATGATTGAAGTGGCTCCGCCCACTCCCCCCCCGAGCAATCTCCTGTTCCCTCCCTTGCACTAGTTGCTCGCAGGCCGCATAAAAGCCCCGGATGGGCCGGTTTTGGCCCCTGGGCCTTATGTTTGACACCCTTGAAGTAAACAATACACACATTACTTAATACTACTTTTCAGGGTTTTACCATATATTTGAGGATCTTGCAACTGTATAATTTAACTTTCTAGCTGAAATCTTTCTAACCTAAGAATCTAAACCCCACTTAAGATTCTAAAGCAAGAGAAGGGCCGTGTTCCGTTCAGAAGGAAGCTCTCTAGCAGCCTTGCCTGTGAAACTTTTTGAAAAATGTTTGTTGCAAAATAACAGAGATTCTTGAAAAAAGAACTGAAACAGGAGGACATCCACGGCTACCTGTCAGGTCGCTGGATTCTTTGTGAGTAGATTTTCATCACTGTACAGCTGAGGCACATTCAAGTACCACTTCTCAGAATTTATTGTTAGTGAGAATTCATTCTCAGGAAGATGGTATATAGTTGAATAGAGTGTGACCACAGTGTATCGGAATACTGAATGGTAAAGATACCCCACATGTATGATGTGTCCAATTCATTCCTATTGAGGATTTCAGCGAGAAAGATTTCCATTAGAAAAGAAGTTATATCGTTACAAGGTCCTCAAATATGTGGCAAAAAACTGAAAAGTAGTATTGTTTAAGTAATGTACGTATTGTATACGTGTATACCTTTTGGCAAAGTACATTAATGTTTTACTTACCGCAGTGAGCGTCGTTCTTTTGCGGTTTAATTCACCGTGAACCTGGTTTTGTTTATTCCGTAGGTCCCTTGGCACAAGGAAAGGATCGAACTGTAATACCAAAGTCTGGTCCGGCAAAGGCCTGTGACCAGTGCTTCCTCTAAACTGTGGAGTCTTGTGAGCAAAAATTGTACTTTGTGAGCTACTGGCATTAAAGCTGTGAGCGAGCCATTTGGCGACTGCGTAAATTAGTCTGCTCTGGAGCCCATCCCTCCTGAGCGAAGACAAAGATCTGTGAGCCGGAAGCTAAAAAAACTGTGAGCTGGCTCACAGTAACTCAGCTTAGGGGGAACACTGCCTGTGACCAGTAAAAGCTACCCACAGTGTGGTTCCTTTGGGAAGAACCTGCCAGGAACTTCCCTTCGACATCCACCTTGTCAGGTTCCCCCGCCCCCCCCCCCCCCCCCCCCCTCTGTCTAACCACGGACAGGAAGAGGTGGTCCCTTGGTACCTTCCAGGAATGGCCCTCTGACGCTCGAGTCATCAGGCACTTCCTGTCACCTCCCCTCCCCGAGTGACAGGAGCCGGAGTTGAACTTCCTGTTTCACTCTTGGAGGCAATTTCCCGCCTGTTGCCCACACAGAACAGACCGCAGCCTCTCTTTTATTTTCTTTTTGCCGCTTCAGCCACCGACTCTCAGGATGTCGGTTTTACAGCCCCGCTGAAGGGGAAGCAAAAGTAATGATGAAGGTGTTCAGGTAAGCCCCTCCCCTCCCCCCATAGGGGAGGGAGACAAACAGCAAGCGACCCATAAGCCGGCGAAGAAGGGGAACGGATAGCCGGTTGGGCTAGGCTTGCGGAGGCGTGGGCTCAGATCTCTACTCAACCTGCAAGTCGCTGTTCAGTCGTTCCTCTCTCTCTCTCTCAGCCTCACTTGCTTTGCGGAGAAGGAACGAAGTTCGAGTCCAGCGGCACCTTTAAGACCTTGATAGAGATTTGTTGGGGACCCAGTCCTGACGCAAAGGGCCGGTCGTCTTATTCAGTGATGTCCCACCGATCAGAGTGCACATAGTTGTCATCGCCCAGTGACCGTACAGATGTGGCTCTGTGTCACATGGCTGCCAGGAAATCTAGCGTGCACACTTCTCTGGATACACAGATCCGTCGTGTGCATGCACACGAAAGCGAATACCCAGAACCAGTGCTCCGTCTAAGGTGTGGAGTCTTGTGAACAAAAATTCTCCTTTTGTGAGCTGCTGGCATTAAAGTTGTGAGCGCGAGCCATTTGGCTCCTGCCTAAATCAGTTTGCTCTGGAGCCGTCCTTCCCGAGCGAAGACAAAAATGTGTGAGCCGGAGGCTAAAAAACTCTGAGCTAGCTCACACTGACTCGGCTTAGAGGGAACATTGCCCAGAATTATACTCTGTTGGTCTTCAGGGTGCCACTGGACTCAAACTTGGTTCTGATTGCAGAGGAGGGGAGGAGAATGTTTTTCTCCCCCCCCCCCCCTGCAACCAAGAAAATATAAATAGCTCCTTGGTAGATATCAAAATGTACTGAAGAAGCTGGGCTGAGTCTCAGCTGCCGTGTACGTCCGGGAGTGACTTGCTGCCATGCCGTCCCATTGGCGTGTTTCACCTTAGCAAGTGCAGACGGCTGTGAGCTGGGCGGCAGGCACACAGGAAGCTCTCGCGCGTCTGTGGTTAGCTTCGTCCAGATCCGGTCGGAGGTGTCAATGAGAAGAAGACAGCGACATAGTACTGTCTGTGAGGTTCCTAGAGTAACTTCCTCAGCCGGGCGTCACCTTTCTGTTTGACTGGAAAGCACTCGCGAGTCCCTCCCATGCGCAACAGCACGACTTTCTCTTCTGTTGTTAGGTTGGATAAGGAATTTGACCCGTTAGCGGAAGCTTTCCCTGACCCCCAGCCTGGAGTGGCCACTAACAGGTGAATTCCACAGGGACGGCCCGTGAGCGTCGGTAGGAACATAAGCTGGAGAAAAAGAGAGTCTTTGAGGAGTTCGGAGGCTCTTTTTGGTTTGAAGGTGTGAACTGGACGTTTCAAATGAGCCCCTGGTTACCCTTACGTAGGATAACGGGAGGAGGTTCGCAAATAGTTAACGGAAGGGAAGTTGTACCTCTACAATGTCTGTAATTGATATTCTGCAAAGAAGGGTTCCCTTTTTTGTTTAACTTGGAAAATCCACCCCCCCCCCCCCCCCCCCCTAACACAACACGAGGGCTGCGACTGTGGCGTTCTGTTCTGAAAGTGCCAGGTTGCTATAGAATCATCACTTCAAAGTCTTGTCCTCTGTGATAGATTTTTAAAAGGCAGCGGGAGGCCATGGCACACGGGCACGCCGGCAAAACGTTAGGTTTTTTAAATGACCCTCGCACCGACTTTGTGAGTCAAGGCGGCCAAAAAGTCTGTGCTAGATTTTGAGCCTGAATTTCTCTCACATGCAGGCCCCGAGACCCTGTCCGCCAATGCCCCCTCTAAGCTGTGGGGTCTCGTGAGCCAAAATTCTACTTTGCGAGCTACCGACATTAAAGCTGTGAGCGAGTGACTTGGCTGCCGCGTAAATCCGTTTGCTCTGGAGCCCTCCTTCCCGAGCGAAGGCAAAAATGTGTGAGCCGGAGGCTGAAAAACTGTGAGCTAGCTCACACGAACTCAGCGTAGAGGGAACACTGCTGTTCGCTACTTTGCGCTGCCTCCGACTTCTGCTCTCACCCAGCCGCCGGGCCTCTCCTTGACCTGGTGGTTCTCTGCGGCAAATAAATATCCATCCTGGAGGCGGCGCGCTTTATCTGTCTAAGTAGAAAGAGAGGCCTACATGGCAGGACGCCTCGCTGCCGCAGGGAGCAAGGATTTGACGTCAGTCATATAATCTTTTTTTTTTTTTTTAAAGCACTGCTTTTGCACCCTTCGGTTCCTACATTTTAAGAATGCCCATCGACCCCCCCTCCGCTCTTAGAAACAGCACACCTTGCAGCAAGTCTCTCGGTCTTCCTGAAGCGTGAGCCCCAGGAGGATTGGCACAGGAGCCTCCGCCCTGAAAGAATCTTCTGCTCTCGCTCTCTCTCTCTCTCTCTCTCTCTCTCTCTCTCTCTCTCTCTCTCTCTCTCTCTCTCTGTACGGCTCTCCAACGCTAACCGTCTCCTCTCCTCCCCAGGATAGGGTTCCTGGGTCTCGGCTTGATGGGAAGCGGCATCGTCTCCAACCTGCTGAAGATGGGGCACACCGTCACCGTCTGGAACCGGACTGCGGAGAAGGTAAGGCTCGTTTCGTGGCCCGGCACAGAACGACATCGAGCGTGAACCCAAGTGGGGCCTCGATTTGCCGAGGGAAAGTGTTGAGCGTGACCGTGGTCCTGAGCACGGTCAGTGAGTTTTACTGAGTTGGTCTCATAAGGGGGTTGGTATGAGAGGGAGGGGCTGTGGCTCAGTGGCAGAGCCTCTGCTTGGCATGCAGAAGGCCCCAGGTTCGATCCCCGGTTGCCTCCAGTTGAAAGGCTTGGTAGTAGGGGAATGTGCAAGTCCTCCGCCCAAGACTTTGGAGAGCGGCTGACTTTGATGAGCCACAGATCTGGTTCAGTATAAGCCCGTTTCACACGTTCCGTGAGACGAGCCATTCGGTCCAAGTTCTTGACCCCCGCCTTTCCTTCTCTGCAGCCTGGCTGAGATGCGTCCTTCTGAGCCTGCTAATTGCCCTGACAAAGCTAGCCTAAATTATCGCACTGTTTCACAGTAGCCATGGCAACAGCTTTGTTCCTCTGACTTCGTTTTTTGTTTCTCCCCCACTCCGATCTTTTTATGCTGCCTTTGTGGCGGGTGGCAAATGCTCTGCCTTCTGGCCTCTGGAACAGCTGCGCCCACTGTTGTGTCGGTGCCAAGGCTTTGGAGAGAAAACGTCTCACCCGCCTGTTTAACATAGGCAGAGCGGGGAGCAGGCCCGTAGCCAGGATTTTGTGGCTTGTGGGGCAGATTTCCCCCCCGACGGGGCCGACGTTCTCAATGCAGAAAGAAAAGCCGTTTAGCCAATAGAAAGCTGTTACCAGGATAGGTCTCTAAATGCAGGCTGTCGACCCCTTTAGAGGACAGTTCTCAATGCAGAAAGAAAAGCCATTTAGCCAATAGAAAGCTGTTACCAGGATAGGTCTCTAAATGCAGGCTGTCGACCCCTTTAGAGGACAGTTCTCAGCTGCTGCAAGTTAATCCCTTCTGCCAGCCTAACAAGCCAGCAGGTGGGGGTGATGACTTCTGTAGTCAAAAAAGCTAACACTTTGGCAGAAAAATCTCTCTTAAAGAAGACCAGTTTCTTGACACAGAGTCGGAAGGGATCCTAGAGGTCACCTACTCCAACCCCCTTGCTCAGTGAGGGAATAGTCCACAACAGAACCCCGGTCTGCTTAAAGTAGCTCACGGCATTTAAAAAAAATGATTGAAAATGATTGAAAAAAGCATTTCCAGGAGAAATCCTTGTGGGGCTGTGCCTTTAAGAAAGGGGGCAGAGCCCCCCAAAGCCCCACTGTAGCTACGGCCCTGGCGGGGAGAGACGTCTGCACATCCCTCCTCTGCAAAGCAGTGCTTGAGGCCCGGCTGTCCTGCAGGCTAGCTTGATCTCGGAAGCTAAGCGGGGTCGGCCCTGGCCGGTATTTGGATGGGAGGTGACCAAGGAAGTCCAGGGTCGCTACACAGGAGCAGGCAATGGCCAACCACCTCCGCCCTGACCTCAGTAGCGCCAGCTGGCCCGATCTTGTCAGATCTCGGAAGCTGAGCAGATTAGCATTTGGGTGGGAGACCACCGAGGAAGTCCAGGGTCGCTACGCAGAGGCAGGCAGTGGCCCACCCCCTCTGCTCTCTTGCCTCGAAAACCTTACGGGGTGGCCGTGAGCGGGCTGCGTGCTGGGACAGACCCCCTCGGAGCCGCTCGCCTGCCGTTCCTGCAGGAGGACGGTCGCCTGTGGGGGCCTGGACCAGCTCCTCTGGAGCCCAGGGGTCCTTGGGAATCCCTGGGTTGTCCCGCTAGGTCTTCCCTGGAGACAATTGTCCTGACGAGCGGCAGCTGCAGGACTCTCTGCCTCTCAAGTCCGTGTGAGCGGGAGAGGAGGAGAAAACCTGCTCCCTCGTGGGCGACATCGTGCCGTCTGCCGCGGCCCGTATCGCAACCCCTTTCCAGGGCTGAAGTGGGAGGCGCCTGGGTTCCCTCGCCCAGCGGCCCCCGCCTCTGACACGTGGCTCTCTGTGGCTTTTGCAGTGCGACCTGTTCATCCAGGAGGGGGCGCGCTTGGGAAGAACCCCCGCCGAAGTGGTCTCCACCTGCGACATCACGTTCGCCTGCGTCTCCGATCCCAAGGCGGCCAAGGATGTAAGGATTACCTCTGTGTGCTTGCACGCGCCTCTCTGTCCGGGGTGTCCTGCGTGGAATTTCTTTTTGCCTTCCCCCAAACCCTTTCCTGCAGCCATCGGCTACGGATCCGGAACTCCCCCAGAGATATTTTTCTGGATGACTAACGTCGCAGAATGTCAGTGCGCAGGAGTACATAGGTTACGGCAGGGCTATTTTTGGGCAGGAACGCACAGGAACAGAGGTCCAGCTGGCTCCCGAGTTGGCCACGCCCAGCAGGAACTCATTAGCATAATAGGCCACACCCAACAGCAGAAACTCATTAGGATTGGCTACATTAGGGGTGTGTGGCCTAACATGCAAAGGAGTTCCTGCTACAAAAAAAGGCCCTGGGTTTTGACAACAAACAAGGTAAACAATAACAAGCAAAAGGTGGGTGTGGCTGGATGACCACACTTCTGGTAACTTGGAGGTGCGGCCTAATATGCTAATGAGTGGTGCTGTCAGGGGTGTGGCCTAATAGGCTAATAAGTTTCTGCTATTGGGTGTGGCCTATTGTGCTAATGAGTTCCTGCTGGGCTTTTTCTACAAAAAAAGCCCTGGGTTATGGCCCTTCTACCGGTTTAAAGCTCTGAACATATTTTGGATGCATCCCTTATTCCCGAAAGAACATATCTGAAGTTGGGTATAAAAAGAGAACAGTGGTTGTACTCAACTCATAGTCTCTTCAGTAAGCCTTTCCCTCTCCAGTTCACACACGCACACACAAACCTTTATTGATATTAAGAGCACAAATCATAATGGGAATACTACAAATACCAAGGTACATCAGTCGCTTGCACTTTAGCTGTTCATGTCTTCTGGTTGCATAATATCTGGCTGCAGAATATAAAAATTTTGCAACAACCTCCATTATTCCGCGATTAGATAGAAGAAAGTGAATAATTGAGTCATCAGAACGCCAACTCTTACCGTCTAAAAGTGGAGTGATAAAGCGAGATCGAATATCCCTATAGAAGGGACAATAAAGTATAATGCGTGTAGTGGATTCTATGTCTTTTAGAGGGCAAGGACAAAATCTGTTAAGAGCAATGCTCCCTCTAAGCTGTGGAGTCTTGTGAGCAGAAATTCTGCTTTGTGATCTACTGGCATTAAAGTTCTGAGCAAGCAATTTGGCGGCTGCATAAATGAGTTAGCTCTGGAGCCGTCCTTCCTGAGCGAAGACAGAACTGTGTGAGCCCGGAGGCTAAAGAACCGTGAGCTAAATCACACTAACTCGGCTTAGAGGGAACACTGGTTAAGAGGATCTTTCCCTGTTGTTATGACATCATGAAGGAAATATCTTCATGAATATCTGAAAGAGATGTGCCTGCCATTCTGATTTTTTTTGGGGGGGGGGGAACAGCCCCGTGACCCTGGTGTTAAAAGTTTGAGAAACAGCCTTCTGGTATTTTGGGCCATTGCTAACCTTTTTATCCCATCCTCCCTCCATGGAGTTCAGGTTAGAGTACACAGGGGCTCTCGTCGCCTCCCCTTTTCTCTGTCACAGCAACCCTGTGAGGTAGGCTAGGCTGACAGACGCTGAGTGGCCAAATTATGCTCCGAGCTCAGTCTGTGGAGTGATTTTAAAAACGGCCCCGTAGGTACGACTCCCGGCATCCGTTGCAGAGTGCCTTAAAGGATCCTGATGTGGATTCCCCCTCCTAGCAGCCCCGCCCTGTGGGAAGAGTCCATTGTCTTGTTCCTGTTCTACAGGTGGGGGAGCAGAGGCTGAGGGAGGGACCGTCCAGAGGCGGGGTTTGCCACTTGCTCTCCCAGGTTGAGGTTTGTGGTCCTCGGAGTCAGGACTTGGGCATTCAGTCTGTGCTTGGCTTAATCGACACTCTTGTTGTTGTTTTTTTAAGCGATTTTTAACAGAGGGTGTGATGAAGAAGAACGCTTGAGTCTGTGCACAGGTTTCTCGTTCTCCTGGCCAGATGGCTCTTGGGCGTCCTGCCCGAGTGCTTCCCTCCTCCCCATAGCTCAAAATGGAACGCAGCATTGAGTACGGCGGTTAATGCTTGGCCTGGGGGTGTGGAAATAAACCAAAGCATGGCATCATCTCCCCCCCCCCCCCCCCCCCCGTTCTGCACCGAGGACATTTAAAGCAACCTGCCAGCATGGCTGGTTGTTAGTCATCACCCTGTAGCGCAAACACCAGCAAGCCTGTTGCGTCCCTGCCTTCCCTCCCCCCCCCAAAAACCCCTCTTCAGAGCATTTGAATCCACGGGAGGTTGTGTGCACATTTCTGCCCCGAAGGAAGATGAGACGCTGGGAGCAGTGTCTCTCCCGTGCAAGGATTCATAGTGGTTGCCGCAGGGACATCAAATGACGCTTAAGATTTCTGTGAGACCGTCTTAGTTTCTACGAAGTCTGGTTTTCCTCAGTGCATTACATGGGGCGGTGGAGGGAGAGCGGCTCACCCTTCCCCCGGCCAGATGTTCCTGCCAGAATCCAGAGGTCCCTTTTAAAGCACCTAGCCCTTGAGCGGCATGGGGCAGAGAGAGCTGAGAAAGAGAAACGCCTTCTCCCTCTCTCAAAATACTGGAACTCCATGAAGGTGATGGGCAGTGGGTTCAGGGCGGACCAAAGGAAATAGTACTTTACACGGAGAGTGATAAAAACGTGGGATTCGCCGACAGAGGATGTCGTGATGGCCACAGGAATGAAGAGGTTTAAAGGGATTTCATGGAGGATCAGTCTGTCGATGACTGCTAGCCATGGTGACTGAGGGGAACCTCCACATTCAGAGGCACTGAACCCCAGAGGAACTGGTTGGCTGCAGTGTGAGACAGGATGCTGGACTAGATGGACCCTCCCTGGTCTGATCCAGCAGGGCTCTTCCCATGTTCTTATCAGAGGAAGGCCTCATCCTCTATGCCCTGTTACTGGACCTTCAGAGGAACTGGTTGGCCACTGTGTGAGACA